TTTCAAGGGAAGCTGGGGAACCAGCCTCGAAAATTCACAGGTTAAAGATTCCCAAAGAAGCCTTTCTCTTCTCACTTAAATATCTTGGGATGTCCGTGTTTCAAAACAAGCGTGCTCTATACAGAGGTAGTAGAGAATAGGTAGGAGAAAGTTGATTGCCGCATAATGCACGTCCGGCCACGAGGGGGGCGGGTCCGAAGTGTCTGAGCGCGGTCTTGCGCGAGTCAGCCACAGGGAGATTATTAACCAGTCTAGATCGGCGTAGGCAGTCTATTGCATGCACAGTTTCTAGCAACCGCAGCAGGTTGAGCGTTGGGGCAGCTTGCAGCCATGTGATTGGCTGTCCCATAGGCGGGTCAAGATCTGCAATCAGGGGACCTCATGCGTGGGCTGGCGCTATATGGTCACTACACAGTCTTGGTTCTCCTTTTGGGGACTGTTTGTCTGTTTAGGAGTTAAAACTTGTCAACTCAAGGCGGCGTCGATGGGTTTAGAGTCTCAGTCTACTCACACTCTCACTCTATATTATCTAATAAAAATTTGTCAGCTTTTCTTTCACCGTTGGGCACACCTACCCCCAAGAGCATTAACTGGTCTACGTTACTGCAGGTTTTTTTGCGTAAAGAATGCTATTTTCCTTTCACGTGTACTAACATCTCTTTTCGCGTCTTTCTTTCCTAAATGCACTGTTCTAGGACGAGGAAAGTGTCCGTGACCGCTTCAACGCCAGAATTCTGATTGGTTGGCTGCAGGATATCAAGGATAACTTCCAGAAGGAAAAGGTAAGGCGGCTGTCTTCACGTAATCATGATGCTTATCTTGACGTCTGCTTGTTTCGTCCTTTAACTGCTTTGTCCGACTTAACTGATACACCATTCTCTCTGTCGGTTCATGTACAGAACGTCAGTCATTGTGAGCGTTTGGTACTTCTTTTCTGCCCTGAGCTGCTCAACTACGCTTCAGCCGCTGGAGTGATGCAGGCTTCGAGCGATGATTTTTTTATAAGACCCTTATGGGGTAGTTGTTACTGTTGTAATTGTTACCAACAGTCGAGATATCGCCGTCTAATTACGCCTTGT